CCCGCAGGATGTTGCAAACCCAGGGGCGGTGCTGGAGAGAGGGAGCTCGCTTCTCTAGATATATGAGGCGTGCCCCGTGGCGCTGGCCAACCTACTCTTCCAGGCAAGTCTTCTCCTCCAATCTCATGGTGGGGGGGGGGGGTGGAATCTGTCGAATATAGAAGCGGTTTATCGTTTTAAAGGTTGACAGTAAAATCCTCATGAATTTCCCCAAGGGTTATTTCTTTCAAAAGCGGCGATTGTTGTTACCACCGGGGTTTGTTTCTATGGCGCGCTCGCTCCTGCGGGATCCATCGGGCTTTTGCGAGGCTCCTTTCGTTGAGAAATCGAAAAACTTGAATCCATTTAGGCCCATGCAAAGAAGAGATTTCCGAAATGCTTGGCGCCACGGTTGTCGCACCAAAAGAAAAACACGTTGTTTTTTTTTTTTTTTTCTTAGCGAACCTTCCTCTACCAATGCAAGGCGGCCCGCCGAAGCCCAACCCCAAAAACTTGTTTCGTCCAATATCGGCTGAAATAATTTGCAGCGAAACGTTGTGCATAATCTTTTTTTTTTTGCTGGTTCAATTCCTGAGACCCGATCTCCCTCCAAAGGCCTTCAATAGGGAAGTAAACGGGGCACTGCCGCAATGAATTTCAAGAAATCAAATTTAACTACACCAAAGGAAAAAGGGAATGCTACCTTTTTTTTTTTGTAAAAATAAAATTAGTATTATTTTAATACTGGTGATGGTGAACCCAGTTTTTTTTCGGCTCTTGCCACACGGTTTGCCACCTCTAGAATCCGAAAGAAAAGGCGCTATTGTGCTAGAAACTGATTGCTTGCGCATGGTTTGCTGCGTGTGCTCTCTAGCCTTGGAATGGTCCCATTCTTATCCCCTTTCTTCTCTTTTTAGCTAGGTGTCCGTTGCAGACTCTGCAAGGTAAATGGATGACAGGTACTCGGCTTCCTTTTCATTAGTGAGCAGCGGACCCTGACAATGCGTTGGTGGGAAACCCTAACAGCATTTAAGAAGTTACAATTATGTGCTTAAACCGTTGCGTTTAAACAATTTCTCTCTACTGCTTTTATATTTTATTATACCTCTTTTTTCCAAATACCGCTCACACTGGAAGGTGGGGCTTCTTTACGTCTACCAAAGTGTGAAAATAATTAACTTAGACAACTAATGTGATTATATCACAGTTGGAAATGGTTTGGTTAACTGTGAGCCGGTGCGCATTAATGTCAAAGCATCTGGGGAAATTTGTTTTGCATAAATTAACATTTTTTGGGGTTTTTAAGTAGATTCAGAAAAACATCCTTCTACAATTAGAAGAACAAGTGTGATAGTTGTACACAGCAGATCGCCCAAAAACACAACAGATATTTCCAATCTTTCTTTTTGCGGAACCATCATCAACCGCAAAAAAAAGTCCCAACAAAAAAAGATTGACAATAAATCGACTGGCAAGTAATAAATAAAAATGTTGGCAGAAAGGCTCCCAAGAAACACCTGGTGGTGATCTTTGAAGGGCGAATTCTTAGCAAGACGTGGGTCCGAAATGTTTGTTTTCGCTTTGCTCTGGGGTCTCTCCTTTCTGCCTCGCCGCTGGGAACTTGGAGCCCTGCAAGGAAGCTCGAGAAAAAAAAACGCTGAAATCCGATCGCTGATTACAGTTCTGCGTTGCCATTTGTGATTCCCCACCATGGACGAGAGTTAACCCAGAACACCGTGTCATGAAAGGCGCCGGGATTCCATTTAATGGGTGTTTTGGTTTGGGTCAAAGTGTCGGCAAAGCGAGGGGCAACCATCACTTTATTATTCTATAGATCCCCGCTGCTCAATTAAAGGCCGTGGCCGTTAGGTGCCTTGGGAATGGCGCGAAACATCCTGCGGATATTTCGGCACACCAAAATCATGAAGGCCCCTTTGCTTTCTAGCCGGCCCGGCGTTTTTTAAAAGGACTAGTTTGCTCTCTCGGCGCCCAAGGTGGTTTCGCGCATCCGGTGCTTGTATGGCGCAGGTTGGGGGTTGGTTAGTTTTCAGCCCCTTCTCATATCCTCGCTTCGCGGGGGCGTCTCCTTCGGAAAAACGCTCAACGCCACCCCTTCCTCAGCACACCGGCGCGGGTCTATTTTCTCCACCGCCAATGCTTGTAAACGGCGGTGTTTTTTTTTTTTTTTTTCGTTTTCCGGCGACTTTGTGATGGGTAAGGTTCCGCTTTGCCGCTTTTGATTGGCGGGGGTGTGGGTGGGTGATTTGTTTCTCTCTTGCATCCGAAAAGACACCAGATTAAAGTGTTCCTTTCGAAAGAGTGTGGCTGGGAAAATGGTATGTTTATAAGAATATATATTTTTTAAGATGATAACAGAAATACGGCAATTATTTTTAGGCCTCTAATAATTGGCCTATAAAAATGTATTTGCAAGCGTTCTGCGAATTAATGGCCAACTGTATTCTCATTTTTTTTTCCGCCCAGAAAACAGCACTTGTCTGAATTGCCATATAGATGGTATTTTAAATTGAGAATGGGGAACTGTTTCTGCATTTTGACAGAGGAAACAGAACGAACATAGAAACGTCGCGGTGCCCCATGATTACTTTTACCGTGCCAAAAAAAAAAAACAATAATCTTAGCCTTGCCTCCAGAATAAACAAGAACAGAAGAACAAAAAGAAAAAAAACCTGTATTTGACCTCCACGAATTTGAACCCCTTCGTGTATAAAAAAAAAATCGTATTCTTCCAGAGAGTTATTTATTAAAAACATCCTAAGAACTGACGGAATAGAAGTGTGCTGGGGAGCCCCTTTTTAGCCCGCCTCCCGCTCGGGGGAGGAGAGGGTTGGGTTGGGTGGGCTTTTCAGAAACTTACGATTAACAGACTGTAAGATTGGAAAGGAAACTCATTTTCCTAAATGTTAAAACCCAAAGCACAAGATTTATTAACTAAAAAATAGTAAGACTCAATTATTCTTTTAGCCAGCTGAGAAAAAAAAAACGGTTGTTTCGAGAGGGCAGGCTGTTAAAGAAAGGGGCATTCTCAAGGGGTTTAATTTGTGGAAGGTAATGCGGGAGGCGGGTTAAGACACTTTAACGCCTTCTTTTCAGGAAGTGAGAAAAATGTATTTATAGAGAATGGGGAGTTTTTGAGACTCATAACAGTTTATGTTGTTATTTTCTTTATAGCGATAGTGGGAAGAAAAACCATCAATATTAATTTATTTTCACTTTTATTCTTTCTTTTTAGAGGGGAAAAGAGGGCACTAGAGTATTCCTTTCTCTGTCCACAAAAAAGGTTTTCCAAAACACAGGAACAAGACTATTCTGAGTTTTATTTTACGCTTTGCGTGTTGCGCTTGGGCGTTAGTGGGGGGCCAAGGTCTCGCCAAAGTGCCCGTCTTCTTTTCTTGAAAATGGCTTCGTTTCTACGCTGCTAAAGGGTTCGTGTTATTTTCACGTGGTCCTCAATATTTTTTTCAACTTGCGATAAGCGGAAGAAACCGCACCCGAGGTCAGTATGGAAGAAGAAGTCGTCCCAACCAATTCCGCTATGCGGGTTGCATGGGCTTCTCCTGTTTTTCCGAGGCGTGGGCATTCTGGCCGGTGGGGTTCCGTGGAACACCTAAACCCAGCCCAGACATGGACGTTTGTGTTTTCTCCGATTGCCCCACTTCAGAAGCAAAAGGAAAATAAAGGGAAAGAAAAAACTAAGCATCAGGAAGTGTTCAATGCGGCGTCTGTTTTCTGCATGTTCCTCCTTCTAGGGGTTTCCTTCTTTACCATTTTGCAGAAGTGGCAGAGGGATTCTTGATAAAATAAAAAAAAAAAACTTCTTCTGCGTTTCATGCTTAGAAATAGTTTCGGGTGTCTCTTTTATTGACAAAATAGGAGAAACAGAAAATTCCCTGAGGAACATTTTCCCAAACACCTATGAATATGACGTGGGAAAAAATCATAAGCACACACAAATCATTTCCTATGAAGCAAATGGTTTGAGGAATTTGATATGGGGGTACGGGTCAAAGATCAGATAACCAGAGGGGTCACAGATTGGATTGATAACCAAAGGTAAAATAATAAGAAAAGCAGAAAATCAAAAAGACCTTTTTTTTCAATTTCATGAATATTCTACGGCTTTAATTGTATATTTTTATTGCTAGAAAGAATAAAAACACACCCTGTCGCCACACAAAGGCTAGGCCATAAAATCCGGGTAGATGCGATTATTTCATGGGGTTTTCATGAACAATGGATTTTGTATTCCTCTACTTTGGGTGCCTTGGTTTACATCAGCAGATGCCGGTGGGAATTCCTCACCAAAAGAATTCGTACAAAAAGCGCAATTCAATAGCAGACCGAGCCCCTCATGCAATGGGGAAGGCGGTTGTGTTAACGGTGGCGTTCCGCAATCTGCTTGGCAGAATGTGCCGCCAAGAATTTCGAGGGGCCCGCCATCTCTTCTGGAGGGCTGTGTTGCAAAGCGGCCTTCGTACGCTAGAGCATTCAGCGTGCACCAGGTTGGGGTTGGGTGGGGGGAATTTCGGGGAAACGCCTGGCCAGAAATGGCAAATACCCATCCAGAAGCGAGGGATTAAAGGGTTTGCCTTATTGGGGTCGTGTAAAGCCCTTCTTGGATCCAAAAGTCTTGCGTTTTATTAACGTGCGGCCTAGGTAACGATGTGCTGCTTTATCTTGGTGCTGAGGTTAAGTGCTTTATGTTGCCCAAGGAAACTAAATGCACTCACTAAATTTTTGAAGGAGGTGGCTTCCTCAACAACCGCAATATATTTTACAGGTGGTCTCCTTAAAAAACCAAATTCTTTTTATTTTTATTTTTTCAGCACATGCGTTCTTTGGAATGCTATCCGCTTGGTGGCGTTTGGCCGTTGAAAGGCGGAGTGGGGTCCATTGCCTCGTATTCTTTTGAGGGAAGTCATGGCCAGCAAACTCTATAGAGGATAATTTGCTGGTTCATAAGCTACAAACGTCATACAGCACTGGGGCCAGCAGAGTCGTGCTGGGACAAAACCTTATCCAAGAAGATCCTGGGGCGCGCGCTAGCGTACCATCAGCAGCAGTTTCTTTTATATATTTCACTTTGGTGTGAATGCTACTAAAACGGAGAGGCACAGGGACCCTAGAGATAGTAACAATTATGCCCTCCAGTGGCGGAAATTAGATTAGGCCGTTGAGGCGACTCGGAGAGACGAAAAAAAAATCCATCTTCTTCCACCTATGGGGCTCTTTTGATCCCATTGCCAATGCGCAATTCCTTAGCGAAAGGGTAATAAAATACAATAAAAAAACAAAAAAAAATTATATACATATACCGTTGGGTATTTATGTATTCCTGCGATGTCCCGCGCCATTGGGGCAAAACCCATAAAGACACGAGTAACGACAACAACGAAAAAAAATCAACATTTGGCTCTGGAATGGGTCCAATTTTTTCCTCCTTTCCCAGCTGGGGGCGGTTAAAGCAAAGCAGAAACTGCCGCTGTCGTTTGCCCAAGGGCGGGTGGGAATGGGGGCCCATTCCTCGGGGAAGGGCCGCGTTTCTAAAATATCAAATCGCAATCTTGCGGTCTCCGGACCGCGCTTTGGTTAGGGGGTGGCGAAAGGTGTCCCCGTGAGAAAAGGCAAAAAATCTGAAGAACCAAGTGGTTCGGCCGGGGTTCTCTGCGCCGCGCCGGTCGTGACATTTCCCACGTTCCAAAGCAAAAGAAGGACAGGAAAGATTTCGCACGGGCAAGTCGTTTTTGGAACCCTTCGCGCGCGCTCCCCCATGCCGGTCGTCCGACCCCTTTTGGTTAACGTTCTTTTTTATTATTTGTTTTCCGGTTGGTGCGTGCCCGCGCGTTGTCCCACCCCCTTTTGGTGGCCTTCCCTTTCCCTGGCGCCCGGCGGCCGGATCATTTGGAGAGAAACCCCGAAAACCCTGAAAAACGAATGAAAAAAAATAACGCCATTTCCCCCACCCGCGCCGCGGCGAGGGAGGCAGCCCCGTAATTTTCAGAGGGCGCCGGTTCGCGGGAAGCGGTGGGGACGGAGCGGCTGCTTCGTTCGTGGGCTTCGTGGGCTTCGCGTGCCCCGGCGGCGCTCTTGAGGCGTGGGGGCGCTTCCCCGCTCTTCGTGAAGTCTCGTCTCTCCTCGTGCCGGTGGCGTCCGAAACCTTTTGAGCTGGGGCGAGCTCTTGTGTGTTTCGCGTGTATTTTTATTTTCTCGTATCGCCACGGGTCTATTGTTTGTAATTTGATTTTGTGCGATGATTTGTGGTAGTGCGGGTTTGTGTTTTTTCCTTAACACCACCAATTCTAAATTTAGAATTGTTTACAGAATAGAGAAATATTGTGTCGGACGAATATTTATTCTTCTCCCCTCTTCGAGTGGTTGGAAACATTACCCTTATTTTTCGTACATTATTGCTAAAATGGACTGCAATCTATACCATTCCAATGGATTACCAAATAATAGCGGAATTGCCACGCCATGGTGCCCAATTTTAATACCAGCAGAAGCAATTGGATACACGCGGATGAATAAATAAAGCTGAAGAAGGATACTATATTTCCTGTTTTTCTTTCTATATATATATGTTTTGGCGTTCTCCCTATTTTTTTTTTTTTTTTTGAGGCAAACAGAACGGCGCACTGCGAAGGTATAACCTGTAAGGGTGTTTGCGTTTCCTGAGCGATGCCCTTTATATCGTCGTTAGCAAGCGTAATTTTTTTTTTTTTTTGCCACTTTTTTTTGCTTCTATTAATAAGAAAAAAAATATCTCAACTGATTTCGGAGCTCTTGTACAAAAAAAAAATAATAATGTGATGATAGTGGTGGGGATGGAAATTGAAAAAAAAAAAAAAAAGGAAGAGGTTATGCCTTACAGAAATTTATGATTAAATTTAAATAATATTTTATTTTGTTGAATTTATCTTAATACCGGTCATTTGGTTAGTGTAGGTTTTGAAGTCTTGTTCAACCTAACCCTCTCCACCTCCCAATGGAAGGGCGGGTTGGAATTCACTTTCACCAGCTAAATCTTTTTGGTAATCAACGGCCCATAGATTATAAAGGTTTTCTTGACCTGCTTTGGCGGAATTCGTCTAAATGTAATACTTGACTTCGGCCTAGAAATTGAGAGAAAAAAAAACCAGATATAAATATTTTTTCTATTACTATTGTTTAAAAGTGCAAAACGGGTCTTAGGATGTTCTTTTCTTTCTATGCTGGTATGATTCTAAACATTCTGTAAAACTGTGTTTTTTTTTTTTTTTAAAGAGTGTAGGTGTTTAGGGGGTTTTCTTTTTTTTTTCTGTTTGTCTTACCTGCGATTTTTTTTTTTTTTTTTTATTGAAGAGAAAAATGAGGATTAAAAAAAAAAAAAAAGAAAAACTCTGTCCCCCCCCTTTTTTTACTTTGCTCCTTTTTTCCTCTCTTGTATTGTTTTGATAAGCCAATTTTTTTTTATTTACTAGTAAAGCAAAAAGTGGTTTCTGTTTTTATTTTGTGAGGTGAAAACGATGGCTCTCAGATTGTTTTCCGATGTGGGAACCGCGGCAAAATGTGCCTCATTGTTTCCCAAAACCGCGTCCGCATGTGAAGCGCTGGCTGCCGAAGCCAAAACCCGTGCGCTTGCAAAACTAAGTGAGATATATTCTTGTAAAGAAGAGGGTCATACATTTTCTAATACGGCAGTTGTGGCTGATATTGCAGCTGCAGAATTGGGTGTATCAACAAGTTTACTTTCTGTAACCATGAATGTTTCACCAGATCGAGTCACAAGAGAAGAAGCTAATAAGCAAATTGTTGAACTTAGATCATTTGAAATTGATCATTTTCAATCGAACAAACCTTTATTTGAAGCTCTTAAAAGTGTTTCTTTAAGTACCCAATATCAGAGCGAATACCTTAATGGAACAAAGGATAAGGAGTATTCTTACTGGCTTGAAGAGGAACTGAAAGAATATAGACGAAAAGGAATGGAGTTGCCTGATGAAAAATTTAAGGAAGTTGTGGCTTTGCAAAAAGAATTAACAGCGTTATGCACAACATTTTCTCGAAATATCAGTGAAGATAAAACTGAAATTTTGGTTACAGCTGATGCTCTAAAAGGTGTTCCGGAAGGTATCATCAATAACCTCAAAAAAACTGATGATGGAAAATATATTTTAAAGTTGGATTACCCAACATATTTTGGTGTAATGAAGAACTGTGAAATTGCATCGACTCGTCAGGCTATGGCTCGAGCAGCAAGTAATAAGGCATATCCTGAGAATGAACAAATCCTAAAGGAGATGATAATAAAGCGACAAAAGCTAGCCGAACTTCTCGGTTTTACGTCTTATAGTTATCTTAACTTGGATAATAAGATGGCAAAATCTCCTGAAATTGCGCGAAAATTTGTCGATGATCTTATTCCTCGTCTTCAACACAAATGGAAATCTGAGTTAGAGCTTATAAAAAAACATTTACATGAAAGTTGCATTCTTACTGAAAATGGTTTGTTGCGGGAATATGATGTCGCATTTATGATTAATCAAATAAAAAAGAACCAGCTAAATGTAAGTGAAACAGAGATTCAGGAATACTTTCCTCTTGATGTTACTGTGAAAGGATTATTTGATATTTATCAGGCATTTTTTGATATTACGTTTACTCGTATAGATAATGGCTCAGAACTTTGGGATGAAAATGCTTTTACCCTTCATGTTAAAGATAATGTAACAGGAAAGACGTTGGGACATATAATACTGGATCTCTTTCCCAGAGAAGGAAAATACTCGCATGCTTGCTGTCATTCAGTGGTTCCACCTGTTCTTTTACAAGGATCTGAAAATGAATTTTCACCAGCGTTAGCAGTAGTTATTGCAAACTTTCCAAAACCATCAGGAGATCGTCCATCATTATTTCTTCATGATGATGTAACTACATTTTTTCACGAATTTGGTCATGCTATTCATGGACTTATGGGACGAAGTCGTATGGCTTCTTTTGCTGGGACGAATGTCAAATGGGATTTTGTTGAGTTACCCTCACAAATGCTAGAGGAATGGGTTTGGGAACCAGAAATTCTTCAGAAAATATCTTCCCATTATAAAACACATAAAAAATTACCAAGTGAACTTGTTGAGGCAAAAGTTAAATCTCGAAATGCATTCAGTGGTCGGGATTCGTTGCGACAATTGGAATTTGCTACTTACTCACTGGAAATTTTTGATGCTCCGTTTGCAAAAGGGAATGATGAAAATAAATTGAACACCACCTCACTCATGAATAGTGTACGTTTGCGTATTAATCCTGAAATTAAATACGAAAGTGACAATCACTTTGAATGTGGTTTTGGACACCTAACTGGTTATGGTGCCGGCTATTATGGTTATATGTGGTCTAAAGTTTTTGCACTTGACGTGTATGAGTACATTAAGAGTCATGACGGTCTTTTGAGTCCTGTCCTCGGAAGGCGTTACGTATCTGATATTATCGGTGTGGGAGGTGGTCAAGATCCCAGTGATATGTTGCGAAAGTTTTTGGGGAGGGAACCTAACAGTGATGCTTTCTTAAAAAATCTTGGGGTGTAGGATTTATTTCGAAGAGGAAGTAAAAACGTAGATGAACGTGGATAAAAAAAAAAAAAAAGAAAAGAAGGGCTTTATTTAGAAAAAAAAAATTGTGTTTTTTTTTTTTTTACTGGGATCTATTAGTTCTGCTCTTTTTATTTTTAATTAAAAAAAAAGAAGAAGAGTTTAGTGAAGAAGAAAAGTATATTCGCACTTTGTATAGTTATTTTATTTTATTTTCTTTTTATTTTTTTTTTCTTTTTAAAATAGAAGCTTTTAATTTGTTGATTTTGTTTTTCTTTTTTTATTTTTATTTTCGTTCCGATGAACTAGCAATCGATTATGTCAGTCGACTTGTCCTCTTCTTCTTCTTCTGATGAAGAGCTTCGAACAGCACTTCGACGTAACGCCAGATTAAGGGAAAACAATACAAGGGCTGAGTTCTTGTCGTTACCTCGTACTATTGTTTACAATAATGAGTCTGTAGAGGTAAGGTGTGGGACTGTCTATTGTCCTTTTAGGAAAGTATATTTCCATATACAATCAGTAAAACGAAATCCGGCGGCTTTTTTTGGCGATGGGAATGTGAGAAGAAACAAACGTTCTTACTTACCTCCATCATCGATTTGGTTTTTGAATGCTTCCCATGGAGAGGAGATATCTGGACAGAGAAAAAGAGTCACTCTCACTGAAACGAACGTCAAAGGGTTTTATATATTTGATGGCATTGCTGACTCTTCTGCCTCTCCTCCCTTGCAAGTAAGGAGTGAACCACTGTTGCAAAATTTTAGGTACTCTCGTATAATGATGCCTAGTCGTTTTGAAGATGCTCTGACTTCTCCAATTCAATTGCGTGTTGAAGAAGGTATCTGGAAATGTCTCCCGTACAAGATACCACGTAAAAGTCTTATTGGAAATTTCCCAGATGATCGGCTTGTTTTTTGCGATTTGGAATCCCAATCATCGATTTCTGTTATAGAAGATGGAGAAGTGTTTTCTTGTCCTTTCTTTGCAAGCCCTCAAGATCGTTCGATGATTGGAATGCAACTCGTCAGTGAACGTAATCTTGTAGTTTTGAGTAGTAAAGTGTTACATCATATTTCCTGGGATCCAGATATTCCATTAGTTCTTAAATCATGGACTTCTCGTCGTTTAGCTTGTGGTTTTTTTAATTGCTTGTGTTCTATTCCATTTTATGGAGGATCATCTGTGTCATCGGTTTTCGCTTCCACAGGACATGATCTTTTTAAGGCTATTATAAGGGAGGATGATCATCCTATAATGGAAAAGTTTCATGGCTTTAGAAGATCTGCATTTTCATCACTTGATGCCTATTCTATGGGGCCTCTTGCTAGCAAGGTACTTTTGTGTGGTAAGAGGGATGGTTCCATTTTGGTTCAACCTTTGGAGACCATGCGAACCTCTAAATTGCTTGATTTTGGTTCGATACATAATTCAGCTTCTATATCTTATATTCGTTGTCTACAGAATTCGTTTAAATTTGTTTCAATTGCTAGTAATGGTGAGGTGAAGTTGTGGGATGTGAGGTACATGAAGACAAGAGAACCTGTTGCTAATCTACAAATTAGTAGAGGTATTGGTTTTTTTCATGGTGTACAAGCTACTTTTCTTGATGATCTTGCGTGTGTTGCAGTTCCTGATGGTTCCGTTTCGTGTATTAATTTAAGGAAGTGGGTAAATATTGGGCAATACCGAAGAGTTGGAAACCATGAAAACCCGCTGCATTTAGTACGAACTTTATCTGGATACCAGATACTGGATGTCGGCGAGGAGAGCACAATGGCGTGCTCATTGCACATTGTATAATCAGTTAAATTTTTTTTTATTCTGTTTTTACTTTGTATTCGTAATATAAGTGTTAAAACATAGATTTTTATTCTAGCTTTACTGCAATGTTTTTTTTTTTTTTTTTCTTTCCCTCTCATTTACTTTTAGTTCTTTTCTTATCTACTCTGGTGTTTATAAGGACTGACGTTGGGTGCTGTAAAGAGGGGGAAAAAAAATACGTCAACAGAGTGTTATGGGTGCTTGCATATCCTCTTTTAGTCACCCTTCTCCTCGACGAGAAGTTGCAGCTACAAAAACTGTGGTGTCATCTGCAAGCACTCCCGTAACCTTCAGAGAACATCGGAGTTTTGACCTACCTTTTGATGGCTATAATCCTGAAATAAACATATATAGATCTGTTTTACGGGTACCAAATGAAAAACGTTCTCCCTCTATAGCAGTTTTGCAAAGGGTTATTGCTGATCGTGAGACCCAGGCCAACTGTAATGTAGTGGGTGGTATTTCTCCTGTTTCCTCAGAAGGTCGTTTACCAACTCGGAAGAGGCAGATGAGTATTGTTGAAAGGACGAGGCGAATGAGTAGCATCATGAATGAGTTTAGTGAGAGAATAAATAGTCTCTTATCAATGCGAGAAGATGAAGACAATGAATCTTATCTAAAACGTGCATTTTTGCTTTTGGATTCACAAGGAAGAGATGCACTCTCTGAAGAGAATCTAGTAAAGGGTTTGGGTGCACTCCGTTCACGTCATTTGATAAGCACGATGTTTGCAGCAGCTGATGGAAACAAAGATGGATACTTAGATTGGGAAGAGTTTTCAAGGTTTTTTAGGTACCTAAAAGAGTCTAACTGCATTCTTGCCGAGAACGCAGATCTGGATTTTGCGTTGGAGAGAAACATGCAAAACAAGATTATTCAAAAAACTCCTGTTCGACAATATCTTCGAGATATTAAGGTATTAAACTTACCAAGTCAAGCAGGTCGTATAAAGTGTATCGCAATGTCAGGAGATCTTGAAATGTATGCAGTATCTCATCGAAATGATTGCACTGTTCATCTTTATACATTAGCTGGAATAGAAGTTCGACAACTTACCGGTCATTCTAATTCTCTTTTGGGTATCACTTTTTCTCCTGATAAAAGATACATTGCTACAGCATCGCGTGATTGGACAATGATCCTCTGGGATTCTACTGCTGGTCAAGCTGTTCAGTGCGTTCAACATGATGGTGTTGTTACCGCTGTAGCTTTTTCTTTTAATGGAAGGTTCCTCTACACTGGATGCCAGGATAATATCGTACGCAGATTATCCATTCCAAAGGGTAAATTGAAAGCTACTCTAAAAGGTTTTTCAAGTACAAAACCCGGGGTTATTGTAGCATTAGCTACACAACACACTAAGAATGAATATGTGGTTTTTTCTCGAAGCTGTGATAAGAGTGCTTATATTGTGGATGCGTTAAATCTCGCTGAACCAAGACAGTTGAGTGGACATAATACAATTGTATGGCATGTACGATACAACCCTGACGATTCTCTTATTCTAACTGGTTGTGAAGAGAGGTTGAAGATTTGGAATGCCCAATATCTTACAATTGTTGCTGATTTCGATAGTAAAGCATTTACTCTTAATGATTGTGGGGCTTTTTGCACTGCTGCTGTTTTTTTCCCATTAGGGTATGAAAATATGCTTATGGTGTTTACCTCGCGCCGACAATTTTACGTGATTAACATAGATACAGGGGATATTCTCTTGGATTTTACCCTACGAGCACCTGTATACGCTTCGGCCTCAGACTTCACAAGCCATGGTCTTGTTTGCGGTGATGACTATGGAAACGTTTATAACATAAAGCTCCTGTAGCAAAATACCATGTATGATTGGTATCGCTTTTCGTTTGCCGCTTTTTTTTTTTTCCTTTTCCTCTGCACGGCGGACGAAATAATAATTAAAAAAAAAAACATTGGCAAATACTCACTGACATCTACGGAGAACATAGTATCTACTTACATTGGCCATTTGTACGTTGTGCTGCTTGCTTGGCTACTTTTTTTTTTGATTTTTTTTTTTTTTTTTTATAAATGACTCATCACAGGGCTTTAATGGACGTGTGAGCACTTAAGTTTGCTGATAAAGAGCACATTGACTATATACACATATAATTGTATGTTTCTTTTTGCGTTTGTTTGCATTATACTTTTCGATGTAATTCTTGCTTTCGTATAAATGTGGAAAATTGAGTGAGTGAAGAAGGTGCTTACGTGGGCGGAGCTCATATGATTCAGTTGTCTGGATCGCATGGGACACAAAGGTGGAGGAAAAAAAAAAAAAGAAGAGCTAGAATGAGGAAAAAAGGAAGATATCAAATCCCCATGAAAATATGAGAGAGAAGACTTATGCATGGAGAATAATTATGAGTGAATAATATATACTCTTTCTTGGAGTATGATACCAATTTCTTCTCCCTTCTTGGGTATTCTATTCTATTGCTCTTTCAAATAGAAAAACAAAAAGAAAAAAAAATACTACTACCAGTAGACCTCTTCCTTGAACGTATGAATTTTTTTTTTTCTTTGTGGTGAATTTATTAGTTATTATTTTTATAGTGAGGATAGATTTGGGGGGGGGGTGGAGGGTGGTTGACTTTTTTTCTACTGTCATTTGTTATTTTTCTTCCTTTGACTGTTTTGCAGGATAAAGAGCACAGAGATATAGCTGACTAGGGAAAGAGAATAAATGATGTACCGATCCTATGTCAAGTTTGCATCAACAACACCGCGGTTTTTGGCCCCACATACGCCGGCAACCAAGAAAGTGAATTTCAATGATGACACTATTTTTCGAGGGAAATCTCTTTGGTGGCTCTTACGTGCCCTCCTTGTCCTTCGTATGTGCAGGATTGAGTACTTGTCTAAGAATTCTGTTGCTCTGATGAAGCGTGCGGAGTCTGTATTTGGTCCATACCTGGCGTACAACACCGTAGTTAAGGCGACTGTGTATGGCCACTTCTGCGCTGGTGAAGATGAGCGTGAACTGAAGTGTACTGTGAAGGCGTTGGAGAGCCAAGGCATTGGCTCTGTTCTTGACTATGCTGCAGAGGCGGATGCGGAGGGGTTTGCACCGGCACCTGGTATGGAAGAGGCACCAAACTTGTCCATGGCAAATCTCGTGCATAACACCACTGTGACGTATCTTCCGCATGAGCGGTTGTATGATGAGAACATGAAGCTCTATGTCATGTGTGTGATGCATGCCTCACTGAATCTCCCAGTGAACGGTGCTGGATTAGCAGCTGTGAAGGTGACGGGGATGTGCCAGCCGCAGTTACTGGCACGAGTGTCGGCTATTCTCCTTTCAGTGCACCAAGGTTGGGTGCGCTTCTTTACCGAAGAGGCAACTCCACCTCTTGAAGAGTGTCGTATTGTGGTTGGGACAAATACGGAACACCAACGGTTTCTCACGGAGGATCAGGTACGCAAGGGTCTCTCACGCTATGGCAACGTGCGTAAATACACGGACAAGGAAATAGATGCTATTCTCAAACTACTTGATGAGAATAAGGACGGAAAGGTAAACTACTACAAGTTCAAAAAGGTTGTAACAAGGGCTATTCTTTCACTGGATCCAACACCAGCGCAGATGTTAATCAGGGACATGTTACCAACACTCACAGAAGAGGAGCGTGAGCTATGGCGTGCGCTTTACAAGCGTTTGTCACTGATTGTCCGTACAGCTAAAGAGCTCAATGTTCGTGTTCTCTTTGATGCCGAACAAACCTTCTACCAGCTTGCTATTGACTACCTTGTTGTTGAATTTCAGCGACAGTACAATTTGGATGAGCCAACTGTGTATAACACATACCAGTGCTACTTAACATACACAGAGGATCGTGTTTTTAATGATTTAACACGTGCTGAACTTGAAGGATGGATGTGGGGAGGAAAAATGGTGCGTGGCGCATATATGAACCAGGAAAGAGAAACAGCATCAAAGTACAACTACACGAGTCCTGTGTGGTCGACGTATGAAGAAACCAATAAATGTTACCAAGCATGTGCAAAACGTGTGCTGGATGAATTCGCCAGACTTCCTGATAAACCTTATGAGGTATTGTTCGGTACACACAACAAGGAATCTGTACAAGAAATATCAGATTATCTTCTTAAGATTCCTCCCACCAAAGGACATGCTGTGTTTGCGCAGTTGTACGGTATGGCAGACAATCTGACTATCCCTCTGAAAAATGCCGGATTTGATGTATTTAAGTATGTTCCTTATGGCCCAGTTAAGGAAACCGTTCATTATTTAGGAAGACGGGCAATGGAGAATTCTTCTATTCTTACCTCTGGAGATACGGAAGAGATTGGGTTGATGAAGAAGGAATTGCGTCGTCGCGTTCTTTGGTTTATGAAATAATGGAACCCTACTCCTCCTATTTCTCGAAGAAAGCAAATGTAGGACCGATTGGAAAACTTAGTTTGTAATTTTGGTGGTGGGGATATTTCTTTTCGCATCATGTTACCACATTCAACTTAAAACGAAAACCATATATTTATTCTATTTTTAAAAGAAAACGTGACAATATTGGAGATCAATAATAAGAAAACGGAATAAAGGAATACTTACATGATAACAAGGGAAAAAAAAAACAATCTCTGAATATGCGGAGTGACAAATGGAAATATAATGACGACCAAGGGTTTTAATGTATCTTTTCCGTAAGGAGGGATTTATGTCTGCTCCATCTGTAGAGAGAGAGAGAGAGAGAGATTAGGGAAAAAAAAATTAATTGAAAGCAAGATTATCTCATTTTTCTGGTAATAAGAGATATATTCTTTAAATTTTTTCTTTTTTTTTTCTACTATTTCATTCGTTCGTACCGCATTCCTTTACCCTAATGTTTCTCATTTTTAATTGTGTAGTTAATTATTCTATAGTTGTTTTATTTTTGATGCAGAGCAGTAACACAAAGCGTGTCTTGTCTCCATTAAAAGGTAGGGAGTCGCGTCGAGTAGATGAAGTGAAAAAAGAACCATCAACTAAAAAGCTTCCATCAAAGTTGAGCGCTTACAAGGACTTCATCAACAGAACTATCTTCACAATTGTCATGGCGTATATTTTTCTTGGACTCGTTTCATTAGGTGTAGAGGTTGTTATCCCTCTTGTTCTTATAATTATATGTACGATGTTTCACGAGATCACGAGAATTAATCAGCGAGCCCGAAAGGAAAGACAACTTCCATCAGTCTTTATTTTAAAACTATGGTTCCTCGGAAGCACCATATTTCTGGTAACGGCACATAGCGTTCGTGACCCCTTGGTTGCCACTTACCCATGGCTTTTAAAATACTACAAAAACTTTGGTATGTTGGCATTTGGTCTATCTATGATTGGTATCGTTGGTTTTGTGCTGAGTCTTCGAAAAGGTATGTACCGATATCAGTTTATACAGTTCACTTGGATAGTGATGACCCTAATGTTTATTGTAATTCAGGGAAGCATGCAATTAAAAAATATGATGCGAGGAATGATTTGGTTCCTTCTTCCAGTGAGCTGTGTTATTAATAATGATATTTGGGCCTACGCCTTTGGTAAATTTTTTGGCCGAACGAAGTTGTTGGCTTTATCCCCAAAAAAGACTTTGGAAGGATTTCTGGGAGCATTTCTTTTTACTGTGATATGGGCGTTCTGGTTCGCAGGGTTTCTTGGATATTTCCCTCAGCTGTACTGTCCAAAGGCTGACTTCCACTCACCGATGCTATGCGAGAAGGATCCATTGTTTATACAACGATCGGTTCCGTTGCCCTTTATTGTTCAAAAATTGACAGGTGGATATCTGACAGCTATTCAGTGTTCTAAGGCGCAACAACACGCTCTTGTGCTTGCCACCTTTGCATCATTGGTGGCTCCATTTGGGGGTTTCTTCGCCAGTGGCTTGAAACGTGCCTTTAAACTAAAAGATTTTGGTGATCTTATCCCTGGCCATGGTGGCATTACCGATCGTATGGACTGTCAGGGTATGATGGGGTTCTTTACGTACGTTTACCTGAGAAGCTACGTGTACTCTGACACAAGTTGCCCCTCTTCAAGTGATTTAAGTAGCTGTGCGTTGCGGCTCAGTGAAGAGGCGAGGCGCAATCTCATACACGTTCTGAATGAATCTCTTTCGCAGGGTATATAAAAGCAAAGTAAAAAAAAAAACAAAAAAAACAAAAACAAAACAAAAACAAAAAAAAAAAAAACAATTCAGCAATGTGGGAAGTTCATACTGTGTGATGTTTATTATTTTCTGTCCTCGTTTATTTTGTATTTCTTTTATCTTTTCCTTTAATTCAACAGAAGAAAAAAAAAAAACGAAACCCTACTGGTTATGCATTTGTATTCTCCTTGCCTCTTTTTCATTTTCATTTTTCTTTTCCTTTTTCTTTCGAGTAGTCGACTAACCATGGCAGAAGTAGCAGCAACAGCAGCAGCAAAGAAGGACAAGAAGGCCCCCCAGGAGGAGGTTGTTGTGCAGCAGACAGACCAGGCACAGGTTGGCCTGATCATCAAGGTTCTTGGCCGCACTGGCTCCCGCGGTAATGTGACACAGGTCCGTGTCCGTCTGATGGCGGAGGAGGGATCTCCTGATGCAAACCGAACCATTGTGCGCAATGTGAAGGGACCATGCAAGGAGGGTGACATGCTCTCGCTTATGGAGACGGAGCGCGAGGCCCGACGTCTGCGTTGAGTTTTTCGACATTGTTTTCTTATTTTTCTTCTATCTATCTTTTATTTATTTTTCCTGATCAATATGGTCTTTCTATGTTTCTTTTTTTTTGTTGATTCATTCTTGTTTTAATACTGATTCTTCTTATAGACAAATGAGTTTTGGTATTATTATTTCTCTTTGTTTCCTTTTCCATTCTTTGTTTTCTATAGCTTTCTGTAGCCATGGCAGAAGTAGCAGCAACAGCAGCAGCAAAGAAGGACAAGAAGGCCCCCCAGGAGGAGGTTGTTGTGCAGCAGACAGACCAGGCACAGGTTGGCCTGATCATCAAGGTTCTTGGCCGCACTGGCTCCCGCGGTAATGTGACACAGGTCCGTGTCCGTCTGATGGCGGAGGAGGGATCTCCTGATGCAAACCGAACCATTGTGCGCAATGTGAAGGGACCATGCAAGGAGGGTGACATGCTCTCGCTTATGGAGACGGAGCGCGAGGCCCGACGCCTGCGTTGAGCAATATTTCAATTTTTCTCTTTTAGCTTTTTTTTCATTTGGTGTTCTCACTCTTGAGTTTCGCTTCCTATATATATGTTTTTTTCTCCACTTGTTTTTGTTCACTTTGTTTTTCAATTATTTTCTTTGTTCTTTAAAACAATATGAATGTCTTGTCTTTTGACTCAAATTCTATTTTTTTTTTTTTTTTGTTTGTTTGTTTTGCTCTTCTTGTACCCACGTTATGTTTGGGTTCAGCCTCAAGGTGAATGAGCGTAGCGCTTGAGGAGCTTGTCCAGGCCCTCACCCTTCTACAGCAGGCGAGTGCGCTAGATGTGTCGGGTGAGAATGAGATGGCCATAGAAATGTATAATGCTGCCATGGAGGAGTTAGACACTGTGGCCCCCTACCTACCCCCCGAACACGCTGATGTAGTTAGGAGAAATACAGGAGAAATAAAGCGCCGAATAGATCTTATCAAGAGGGATCAATGGATTCAAGAGAGAAGAAGTGAATTTCCGACCTTTCCTGTAGAGTATGTACCACAGCCGGTGCCTGTTGAGGAGTTTAGGGTCCCGGTGGATCCGACTTTTCGCGTTCTGTGGTTGATGCGTCTGTTGCAGCGGTCAATGCGGCAAGGTGCATTTCTTGCGCCTGATCTCTTTGTGGGGAAAGATGTATGGTATCAAAATGGGGGTGGTGCAGCCCTCAAGCATACAGGTCCGAAAATACGTTACTTTGCTTCTCTCTGTGAGGCACTGGAGTTACTGCGCGCGGTGGAGAACTTAGGCAATGTTGAGGCTGCCACTAAAAGTCTGCAGAAATACTTCAAAACAGCGGAGGAGTCGACAGTGACGTTAGAGACGGATATGGGAATACGTGGGGAGGGGACATCATCGCGCTCTAAGCTGGAGCGGGGCGTTAGAGGTCTGTTCCACAAGGGACAACAGGTGCTTCGAACATGGATGAACCAGGAGTCAAATATAGAGCTGTTTATTGTATGGGCAGTGAATACGCTTGAACAGGCACAACTGTTTGAAAAATGGATTATATTTTACTCGCATCTCCCAAATACACCAGCAGTCGTAGGTATTCTTGAACTCTTGCATCGCATTGTTGCACTTCTCTACACCGGCCTGTGCAGTTTTCTTCTTCGTGATATGGCTATTCTTGTGGAACGACACCAAGAAAAATGTCGAAAGAGTGCTACCAGGTTGCTTCCAGTGACTGTAAAGTTGGATGGTGCCTCTAGTTAGCAATGGCGAAAGAAAAAAAAAAATAAGAAGGAACAGTGGATGTTGATTATCGATAGTGACAAGATCAAAATAAGGAGCATTCGAGATGATAAAGTGAAACGAAAAAAAAAAAGGCAAGTGAGGTGAGCAAATGTCTTTTACTTGCTTTTTCTTTGACCAATATGCTGAGTGGGGAAGCAACCATCACTGTCTGTTAGTGTTTCTATACTTTAAATTCAAATTCCTTCGTATTCACTCTTTATCCCCATCTTTCTTTCTTTCTGCCTTTCTCTTTATTCTGAATTAGTGCACTCTGAAAGATGGAAAGACCACAGCTCACTTTGGATGCTGCATACAAGTTTACACTATGGTGTGGTCTCTTTTCTAGTCTTCTCAACACTCAAGAGAAAGGTAGTGAGTACGATGTACATGACCGATGGGTAGCGAATGTTGCTACATCATTTATCAAAACCACACTCCCGCGCAAAATACAGAGAACTTGCTGCTTATCTGGAGCATGTGGAAGAAACTCTCTGACTCACAAAAAAATCCATTTTGGACGTGGCGAGGTATCTGTAGGGCGTGGTGAGCGTGACGATGTGTGTGCCTGTGTGGCGCATGCAACAGCATGTTTGGGACAACCTGTTTCTCTTCTTTTAAGGGACTATAGTTCCTCCCCTTCTTTGGTTGGAGATGGTTATGAAGGATTACGCTGTATGCTGCGACATATGATTCTTCAGAGTGTAACATTTTCTGGAATACCAGAATTTCGCGATGCAAGAGAAGTTGTGAGCGAACTGAGTAAAACTTTGAGTAGTAACAAGAGAACACTAACACGTGTCAGTCTTGGAGGACTCCCATCCCATGTTTCTATCACGTCATTGTTTTATTCACTCGCGAGAACAGATATCGTGATAGAGTTAAGGCTGGAGCACTGCTACATAGATGATGTCACTGATCTTGTTAACTACATGAACACATCAAAACTACTTCAACGTCTTTCGTTACGTGGAAATAGGGGAATATCTGATGTTATTGAGGAGCTGGCTACTGGAGTTTCTAACTGTTCTTCTTTACTTACCTTTGATATGGGTCACTGTGGCTTGAGTGATTCACACCTTAGACTGTTTCTCTCTCGATTGAATAACTTTTCCTACCGTACACGTTTTTCTCTTGATATATCAAATAACGTTCTAACCGATATGTGCTTTGTGAACCTATCAAACGCGCCTCCGGCGTTCTGTAAAATACTAACCCACCTAAATCTTAGTGGTCACGACTTTAAAGGCTGTAAATGTCTCGTTGTAGACATGCTTTGCAATTTTTCTGCATTGACTGGTATTACCCTAGATCACTGTGAACTTGGTTCCCGCGATGTGGAACTACTCTTCAGAGAGATATCTCACTCCCATCGTTGCTGGAGTCAACTCTCGTTTTGCGGGGATCGGTTATCATTGGAAGATATTAAACGACTTACACTTGCTCAATTTGCACAAAATGCTACCATTTCTGTGGCAGGCAACAGACTTGGATCTTCTTTGCGGAAGTTGCATTTAGCATATATAATTCCATTTCTTTCCGAACTTGATCTTTCGCTCTGCGAAATCGAAGATGAGGGCGTGGTGCAATTGGCAAAAGTCCTAGAAGATGCACAACCAGTTCCTTTACGTGTACTTAGACTTGATAACAACAATATTGGCATGGGGGGAAACAAGAAGTTTGTCGGATTGCAGTTCCTTGGAAGGGCTCTACGTGCAAGATACGCACCGAATCTTGAAGTGCTATCACTAGCAAGAAACAAGTTGTCACTTCGACCATTGCTGACGTTAGTGGAGCAGGTTTCATCTTCACTAAAGGAACTGAACATCTCGTACTCATCCATTGCGACTAACGATGATCAACTTAACGATCTCCTCGGAACAATAATAAAGCGCCAGAAGGCTCCGATTCAAGGTGACGCATTCAATCAACTCGACCTCTGGGCTCTTCGTACTTGTGATGTGGACGTTCGTTTTAGCATCGATGTGGCTACACGGCTTGAGGGACAACGAGCTCTACGTGTCATTATGGAGGTGAAATAAATACCTCTTTTTTATTTGTTTGTTTCCTTTGTTGTGGTTGTTTTTTTTTTTTTTTGGTGCTGCTTGTTTTTGCTCCTTCTGCGGCAGCGCCGGCACCAGCAGCAGGTGTTTTGCGTATTTATCCACTTTTTTGTTTTGCTGCGTTTTTTTTTTTTTTTTCTTTGTATATGCATGATGTCTTTTATTCTTTTTTTTTTGCTTTAGTACTGCATTTCCCCACACCTACTGAATCGATTCCTTTTGTTCCTGATCTCTCATGTTTTGTTGCTTTCTTTTTATTTTCCTTGTTTAGGCGGGGCAAGCAGTCTTATGTCGGCAGGCAATGTACAGCGTGTTCCGCCCACCTTGCTGTTACAGGAGGAGCTCAAGCTTTTAGACGGTTTGTTTGAAGGACGAATGCGTTACCGGGTCTATCGCCACCATTTGTTTTTTCGTGAGGCTGATATATTGCGTAGAGCATTGCGCAAAGAATTGCCACATTTGGCTGAACCTGCTGTTGGGCAACGTGAATGTCTATTACGACGGCTTCTTTTCTTGACAGTGCGATGCGCGGAGACTGCGGTACTTGAGATGAGTGCCTCCCGCGTGGATACAATTTCCCTTGCTGCACTTCTTTTGGCAGTTTCTTCACGAATTGGATGTGTGCTTGGGGCTCTTTCACGGCACACACGGAATGAGTTTGCTGAAATAGCTGTGGAGAACACAAAGTTCTTCATTGCACAGAAGAAACGATGTCGTCAGAAGCGTACGCGTTCAACTGGCAACACAATTTTATTGCGACATCCAACCATCGGAAGTGTACTCGAAGTGGCAGCAGCAGCAACAGCAACATCTGATGTTGATAATGATATCTGAAGTTCAGGCGACGTGATTCTTGCTGCTGATGCACTCTGTTCGGTTAATTTTTTACGTGGGGTTCATCTTATTATGTCCCTAATTTATTCTGTATTAGTTCATGCCTATGTTTGTTATTATTATTATTATTATTATTATTATTATTATTATTCTATTTTCTTTCCTCTTTTATCATCTTTTTTTTTCCCATTCGTCTATCGCGTTGTGTAGTTTTTACAGCAGTGGAGAGAAGAAATGTCGTCCATTGGTGGTTTTAAGCGCCGTACCCCCAAAACACTAAAGACACGCCGGGCACTAAAGAAGTATGAGCCCAAGGTGGTTGAGAACCCTAAGAAGGTACTGTACCTGAGAGGGGCCCGCACGAGCAGTGTAGTGAATGACGCGATGACTGATCTCTTCGCCATCACCAAACCCCACTGCAAGAAGCTAAAGAAACGGAATGCGTTTCATCCCTTTGAGAGCCGTGAGCACTTGGAGTTCCTCGGTTTTAAGAACGACTGTTCACTCTTTTGCTTTACCAGTGACAGTAAGAAGCGACCACACAACATTGTGATTGGCAGACAGTTCGACTTCCACGTTCTTGACATGGTGGAGCTTGGCATTTTGGCGGCTGATCGCCTCGACATGTCGCAGGCAAAGGGCCTGGATGTCGCCGCACTTGGCGGAAAGCCGTTCTTTGTGTTTGAGGGGAGTGAATTTGACAGTGACCCGACGTTTGTGCGGCTTAAGAGTCTGTTGATTGATTTCTTCCGTGGTGGGACGGAGGCGGAGATAAACCTTGATGGTTGTGACCGCGTTCTGGCATTTTCTCTCCGCTCGCAGAACGGTGAAGATGCCTGCATTGCACCATCAACGGATTGCTACAGCAGCAGTAATAATAGCAGCAGTAGACCGCAGCGTGAGCGTGGGAATACTGTGCTCTGCATGCGACACTACGCACTACAAAAACCACCAACAGTGGGTGGCATGCCAAAGAGTCTCGCCAACAATGTGCAGTTAATGGACATTGGGCCAAACTTTGACTTCCTCATGGGACGCGCTTCCTTCGCCACACCAGCAGAATTCAAGGTCGCAACAAGACTGCCGAAGGAGGTTCTGGCAACAATGCGCTCCACCGCCGCGAATGTCAGCACAGATGCAATGGGCAATCTCCGTGGACAGCTCCACGTTGGTAAACAAGATGTGGATCAGCTCAATCTCCGTCGCTTTAAGGCGCACAGAAAAACACGGCGTGGTGGTGATGATGATGGTGATGCGGGTGACGATGACACGACTGGAATGGTCGCTGGTGGGGTGATGGGAGATGATGACAACGAAGTGCCGCGTAAACGTCATCGCCGTCGCCGACGTACTGCTGCTGACGATACGGAAGAAGGTGCGAGGCCGGAAACAGATATATGATTCGATTAAATGATAGTTAAGATTTTCTTTATTGTTGTTTCTTACTAAACGAGAAAGGAAGGGGGAGTGGGAGGGAGATAGGAAAGGCAAAGAATAATAAAGTAGAGAAATATTATCTTTCTCACAATATATATTTAGATTTGTGCTTTTTAAAAAAATTTCTTCCCTCCCCACTTCTCTGAGAATGTGTGTTTAGGGAGCTGCAAGAAGCTGAAAGAGTATAGCAATGAAGAAGGGGCAGAGAAGAGAGTTTCGAATGTTTTTTTTTTCGAAGTTTCTTTCGTATAAATGACCGCTATCCTCATTTTTTTTTCTTCTTTTCCTTTTCTACTACTGCTCCCCTAATGGGAAAAAGGGGTCCCAGTTTACTTGCTTCAATGGTCACCACGGTTTCTCTTTTTTTTTTTCTTCTATTACTTACAATGAAGTATATCGAGCGCATAAAAATAGGGGGAAGGAATACCAGATATCGAGAAAAAAAAAAATAGGCTGCATCATTAACAGCAACATCAACATCATCACAACTACAGTATGCCTCTTCGTTTTTCTTCCGCATTCTTTCTTGGCGGTGCGATGAAGCTTCTGGTAAGTGGAACTGTATACGCTGCTGCTGCTGCATATGTGCCACCGTACCCGCAGAACTCGCACAACTCCGTTGTCTTCCTCGACACAGCCGTGCAGGAAGGCCGCACGTGGTTCGGCACCTCGTCGACAGAGCCTATTGGCCGTGTCGAAGTGGAACTCTTCGACGACACAGTGCCCATTACCGCCCGTAACTTCCGCGAACTCTGCCGCGGGAGCATCGACGGCGTATATAAGAAAGCACCGGACGGAACACCGCTGCACTTCAAGGGCTCCGTGTTCCACCGTATTATTCCTGAATTCATGGTACAGGGCGGCGACATCACAAAGGGCAACGGTACTGGCGGATGCTCTATCTACGGTGTACGCTTCAAGGACGAGTCCTTCGACGGAAAGGCAGGAAAACACAAGGCTGCCGGTATTCTTTCCATGGCAAATGCTGGACGCAATACAAATGGCTCGCAGTTCTTCATCTGCACCGTGCCGTGTGCGTGGTTGGATGGAAAACACGTGGTGTTCGGTCAAGTACTACGAGGGTATGAGAACGTCAAAAAAATTGAGGGATATGGCACACCGCACGGGAAACCAACAAAAACAGTCATGATCTCTGACTGCGGTGTTCTGAAGGATACATCATAATGAGCTTTCCCGATTTACATTATATATATTGTTTTCTTTCTTGTTTGATATCTGTGGATGTGATTTTCGATGCCTTATGTTGCTTTGTTTTCTGTCAATGCCTCCCCTACTCTCTTCTTTTTTTTTTCCTTCTAAGCTTGATCAAATCAGGAAGCGTATTCTATCTTTGTGTTTGCGTCCACTTCAACAAAGTATACACATACACAAACACACATACATACTCATATATATATATAAACACCGAAGAAAAAAAAAGAACGGAGGGCTCTATCATGCGTCACTTGTTGTGCCCTGTGCTGCTGCTCTTGTTGTTATGTTGTGCCGGCACGTCCCTTGCCGCTGTTGTGCAGCACTTACCGCAGAAAGGAGAGAGTGCTTTTCATGCGTACACTGTCGCCAACCATGGGAAGAGTGGGAGAAACTGGAAGCCCATTCACATCGAAGTATCCGCAGAGGACGTGGATAAAGTGTTGAAGAGCTGTGACAGAAAGCGAGCCTGGGCCGAAAGGACTGGGAGGTCGTTTCTCAGGACTGATGAGGATAAGGCGCTGTGCGATGATGAAACTGGGATAACTGATAAAAAGAAGGACCTCCTACTGAACAAACTCTTACCCGATGCGATCCAGTTGCATACAGATCGTCTCAGCATTGAACGGAAAGAGGGTAAGGTTGTGGTCTCTGCAAGCACCATAAGGTCATTTTCGACAGAATGCAAGGTCACAGTTGCCAGTGATCACAAAACAAATGGTTTCCCCAATGCTGACTTTGTGCTTTTTGTGGGCCTTGCCGCATCTCAAACGCCAACAAGAATATGTTCTCAGGAATTGGACAAACGGCCAACTTCTGCACTGATCCATTTTGTACCGAAAGACATTGTGGACACGAGGCACTTTGTCCGCACAGCAGCGCATGAGATTGCACATGGACTTGGTTTTCTGGTGAACCGTATGAAAGATCTCGGATTGATTAAATACGGAGCAATGGGAGCAAACAAGATGGCTGTGTATTCTAAAATAATGCAGAGGAAGATGAGAAAACATTACGACTGTGAGGTGGAACTCGTTACCGGCATGTACATGGAGGATGAGGGTAATGGTCAATACACGTCGCACTGGGAGCGAAGGATTGCGAAGGATGAATTGATGAGTCCATACACGGGAGAACCCTCTGGCATGTACTACACGGCACTCACACTTGCAGCATTCCATTCCATGCCCTTCTACAAGGCGAACTTCAACATGGCAGAGTCGATGAGCTGGGGGAAGAAATCTGGATGTGATTTACTTCATAAGACATGTACAAGGAGCAAGTATGAACTAATGAAGTACACCAGCATGTTCTGCGACGAAAACGAGCCTGTCTTGCAGTGCACATCTGACCGTTTCGCCCTTGGAATGTGTTCCTCCATTTCTGTACTTGATACCCTGCCTGAGGTGTACAGCTACTTTACAAAGACTGCTGGACAGAATGAGATGACGAATGGCTGCCCCATC